TCATGGAGTGGGGTCGGGGAAGGGTACCTTACTTCGCACTCAAACGGCTTAGAAAGGAGAAAACGTCCTGAAATACATATCCTGTTTACTTTTCATTTTATTTTATTTTATTTTTTGGAGGAAAGTTAGTCCTGAGACAATATCCGCAGCCAATCCTCCTCTTTTTGCTGAGGAAGACTGGCTCTGAGCTTACTCCTGTGCCCATCTTCCTCTGTTTTGTACGTGGGACGCCTGCCACAGCATGCCTTGACAAGCAATGCGTAGGTCCGCACCCAGGATCCGAACCAGCAAACCCCGGGTCACCGGAGTGGGAGGTGCAAACTTAACTGCTGCACCACCGGGCCCGCCCCTACTTTTCATTTTAGGTGATTCTCCGGTGTCATTTATTCTTCATTCTTCTACTCACCACCGCTCTTGCTGACACCTTTCTGGCCTGGATTGCCCTCCTCCAACTGTGTCGCCCCCCCAGATCCTTCCTACCCATCTTTCAAGCCTGAACTCAGCCTCCTTTTCTCCTTCCCCACCTCCCAGTTACCGGTCCTTTCAGCTCCCTGCCGTGTTGAGTGGTAGAGTTCGCTGAAGTGAGGCGGTTGTTGATTGCCTCGCCTTTTGAAGCTTCATAAGTCAATTACGATAGGTTTAAAACCCGTTGCAGCCACCAAAACCCGTGTTTCCTAGGTGCATTTATTGTTGGTGCTGTGAAGTGGAGTCTGACTCCCAGGACCCTGTGGACAGCAGAGCGGAACCCTGCCTGGTTTTTCTGCACTGTCCTCTCCCCTTCCGGCGCTGTATCAGACGTGCTCCACTGCTGTTCACAGGGTTTTCATGGCCAGTTTTTTGGAGGTGGGTGGCCAGGTCCTTCTTCCTTGTCTGTCTAGTCTGTCAGCTCTGCTGAAACCTGTCTACCGTGGGTGACCCTGCTGGTATTTGAAATACTGGTGGCAGAGCTTTCAACATCACAGCCACATGCAGCTGCCATGGTATGACAACCGACAGGCAGGTGGTGTGGTTCCCTGACTGTGACGTGAACCTGGGCCGTGGTGCTGAGCGCGCCGAATCTCAACCACTGGCCCACCGGGGCTGGCTTCCTTGGTGCATCGGAACTTTTTATTTTCACCTGTCCTAGGGTCCTGGATTTCCTGGGTTGGAATAAGCTTGTCAAAATACAGACCGCATGTTATACCCTCACCCCCCCTAGAAGCAAGCACAGATTTGGGAGCTGACAGACCTGGGCTCCTGACTCTGTCATTTAACACGTCACTGATCTCTGCGCTCCTCAGTCTCTGAAGGACGCGTCCCTGAAAGGTGGGTGTCCTGGATGAAGTGCGCTGGCATGTGTCAGCTGCCTGTCCCACACTCAGGGTTGACTTCCTGCACCAGCGTTCCGTCTCCACTGGTGTGAGGTCAGCTGCCCCAGGAAAAGCCGCTGTGAGGAGGCGTTGTGACCCGGCTCCCTCTCGTGGGCGTTCCCCGCCCAGGCCTGTCAGAGTCACCTGGCGAGCTGTGGAGTTGCTGACTCTCAGGCGTCCGTCCTGGGGATTCTGATACCACTGATCTGTGCTGGAGCCGGGCGCTGGCATTTTCTTAAGCTGCCATGTGATGTTCCGTGTGCATGGAAGCCAGCTCCTTCCTTCACTGCTGATCATGCAGCTAGGTCATGCAGAAAATTAATACGTTGCTTTGATTGGTCTTATTATAAACTCTTGAAAATTGTGTAATTAAGAAACAAACCTGATATTCAAGTGGAATATTCTCTGAGCCCTATTCCTGTTATTGCTCTCATTGTTATTAAAAAAGGAAAACTGGCTTTCTGACTTTCGAAAGTCTAACCTGATGGAAAGGTCAGGATAGAGAGATACATGGTGTGGACTTGAGATTTTCTGAAAGTAGAGAACAAAATTGTCTGCAGTTTGGAAATGAGCTTTGTGTAAACGCTGTCGTCTTCGACGTTGTATACATTATGCATGAGGTTTATTCAATACTTCCTCCTTCCCGAAAGGTGTGTTATCTCTAAATTTGGAAATGAATTCATGAAAGGAGAGAGCGTGTATTATTTATAAATTTTTGAGCATCTAGTAGAAAGTGTCATATTATTTAAAAATCATATTCCTGCTTCTGTGGAGTCAGTGTCCCTCGGTCCCCTCTGTAATCCTGAAGCCGTCTCTGTGAAGCAGTGGGAACTCCGCTCTGTCAGAGAGGAGGGGAGGCTTAGTCAAGAGTCTTTCCATTATTCTTTTCTTCCTAGTTTTCAGGAAACTTCTAGTCAGTTGAAGGACTGACTATTGAATTTTTCTTCTGAAAAAATACCCATCTTCTCCCTAAGAAGTCTGGAGCTGCCACGGTAGTGATAACTGTGTCCATCTTAGTCGTACCTTTGCTGTTTGTCACTTCCAGAATTAATTAGTTACGTAATATATCTATTTGTTGTTGTTTTAATCAAGTTTTTATTGTGGAGTAATTTTGTATTATGGTTCACTCTTGGCGTTGCACATTTGCTGGGTTTTGACAAATGTACGGCGACGTGTATCCGCTGTTGTAGGATCATCCAAAATAGCTGCCCTGCCCTGCAAACCCTGTGCTCTGCTTGCTCACCCCTCCTGCCCCCTCACTCTGGCAGCTATTCCTCTTTTTACTGTCTCCATAGTTCTGCCTTTTCTAGAATGTCATGTAGGGGAATTGTAAAAGAAGAAGTTATTCATGGCACGTGCGAGAACAGTCAGGCAGCCTTCATTCAGGGGACTGCTGCAAGGCAGTTTGCAGTGGGAGAGAGAGAGGGGGCTCCACTGCGACACACAAGAAGGACAAGTGGGAATTTACCACCCCGGGGTGGAGTCGGAGACGAATGGAACGTCACGAGGAGGAAGCGTCAGAGGTGCGGGGAGGGCTCTGGCCAAACTGACCTAAAAGGCTTCTTCCTGAAGGCAGGCCTGTGAGCAAGCACCTTCTTGGTGGGGGTGGAGGATTCTGACTGAACCAGCTGAGCAGGATTCTTGCTAGAATTGGGCAACGGAAACATGGCCGTGGACGTACGAAAGGCGAGGACTAGTTTGGGAAGAGGATTCGGAGGAGCCTGACTAAAGTTTGGTCAAGGAGCGCGTCTGCGAAATCCGACAGTGGGTGCCTCTTCAGGTGGGCTTCTTCCACTCAGCTGTCTGCGTTCCAGGTTTCTGCATGGCTTTCAGGGCTTTCTAACTCATTTCTTTTCGTCGCTGAGTGATATTCCATTGTCTAGGTGTACCACAGTTTATCCATTCATCTACTGAAAGACATCTTAATTGCTTCCAGATTTTGGCAATGATGAATGAAGCTGCCATAAACAGCCATGTGCAGACTTCAAGAATAATTTTACATTTCAGAAAAGTTGCACAGATAGTACAAAGCATTCCTGTATACCCTGTACTCAGTTTCTCCGGTGTTAACACCCTACGTAACCGTGTTACGTTTGTCATAACTAAGATTAACATTGGTACATTACTATTAACTAGACTTCATTTGGATTTCACCAGTGTTCTCACTAATTTCCTTTTTCTATTTCAGGATCCAATCCAGGATACCACATTGCGTTAGTGCTACATTTATTTTAATTTTAATTTTAATTTTAATTTATGGGAATAGTTTGGGTGTGTTGTGTTCATTAAATATGTTCATAAAATTCAGCATATCCTGAAAATATGAATGCAAACATATCAACTATAAGGAGCGGATGTTACTTAATTACACGAACACATTCAATTAAGATAACGCTGTTTAGAATTTTTTGGAAGTTTTTGTGGGGGGCAGAGCATGCAAAATTCCTGATGTGTGAAATTGAGATTTGTTGTATAAGATTGCTGTTTCTAAACAAAATGGCTTGTTGAAAGAAGGTCATTTTAAGGTTGAGTATTTCAAGACCCAGGAGAAAACGGGTTGCTAAGTTGTAATAAAAGCTGTCAGTGTGTAATTTTTCAAGTTGATGCAAAGGATAAAGGGTTTGGTTGGTTCTCTAATGAGCATCTCCAAATGTTTTGCTGGCAGAAGGACTCCATGAAAGATGACAGAAGAAGTTATTGTTATAGCAAAGTGGGACTACACAGCCCAACAGGACCAGGAGCTGGACATCAAGAAGAACGAACGCCTGTGGCTGCTGGACGACTCCAAGACGTGGTGGCGGGTGAGGAACGCAGCCAACAGGACGGGCTACGTGCCATCCAACTACGTGGAGAGGAAGAACAGCCTGAAGAAGGGCTCCCTCGTGAAGAACCTGAAGGACACGCTAGGTGAGTGCACAGTGCATCAGGACCCAGGTTGGAGCTGCGCAGCTCCCCGTGATGGAGGGCGAGGCAGCCTTGTGCTTTTTGAGAGGAGAGTGTTCATCTTTTTAGTTTGTGTTTAAAAAAAAAAAAAATGTTTTAAATGTTGACATCTTTCTAGATATCTAGTTGACATCTTTCTTTTTTTAAATCTTTTAAAATTAAGAGATCAAGATGGAGAAATATCATGTTTGTCATTTCCTGGAGATTTTAGAGTTTGGAGTCTTATGTAAGTTGACAGTTCTGTGTGTTTCGCACCCCTGCACATGTTTCTGTCTCCTGGCATCAATATTCTAGAGGATCCTGAGATGAGGTTACCCCCTCCAAAACTGTCAATGGCTCTGCCTATGTCATTCCATCAAATCTTTTCTCTCTTGCAAAATCCTGTGCATTTATGCATAGAGAAGGAGATAGTGTAAAGCGCTTTGAACCCTGGGTGAATTTCTTCCCTCTCTTAAATTGATGACATTTCATACCGTAGTCCTGCGCAGTGTTAGCTAAGGTGGCAACTGGGTGAGCACCAGTGTGATGTTGAGGCCGTCTAGGGTCACTGGGGTGGGGACAGCTGGGAGCTCAGCTCAGTCGGCTCCTTGTGTGACTTTCCTCTCACAGGCCTTTCACTTCTCTGACATCTGGACTGGGGAAGGGCCACCTTGAATCCCCTGAAGTTAATGGTGTCCAGTCTCACCTTTGTACGCATATCAGACTCACCTGCAGTAGTTACTGCTTCAGGTTATGTGAGAAAATAACTTCAGGAATTCTCCTTTCTGAAGTGACGAAACTGAGCTGCCATTTGAAGAAGCTCTTGTTGCCTCCTCCTGTGAGAGAATGTGGACTGGACCCGAGATTGCTGGTTATCACTTAAGAGTTTGCAATTGAAAATTGAAATAAGTCAATAGTATCATCACCTGTGTTACATATACTTGAGTTTTTCCTTTTTATTTCTAACAAGAGCATTTGTGTCATTTTGAGGGGAGGGGAAGAGGTGGGAAACTGAAAAATTATACACTGAGTGTAACGGGTGTTGCAAAATATTCATCTTTCATTTTATGCACTGAAGTCTGCTCTCTTCAGAACCATTTAAAGTCTTCATTTATTGGGTAGGACTTTTGTGTTGCGGATTAGGTTATTTCCATGATTTGGAGAGAGAAGTGGGACTCAGATCTGTGTATGAATCACCCCAGCTCACCAGCTATTGTAGATTCTGAGTCTGATGTAGAAATTCCATTTTTCATGAGCAATCTGATTCTTTTTCCGCTAAACTGACCCCTTTATCTTTTTTTCCCAAGCAAGTCCCTTGAAAGAAACATTGTTGTCCTATACTTATAACTCGTAATTAACTGTGTTGAAGAAATACGGATAGCATGAATAGATAAATACGTTGAGTGTCCTGAGCTTAATTTGATTTATTTTTTCCAATTTCAGCCTCTTACCCACCAAAGTACCTTTTTTTGGAGATGCTAAGTATTTTTGACTTGTTTTATCATCTTATCCATTTTTTAAAAATATATTCTCAAGATTCTAGTAAAGAACAAAATACCCAGAAATTGAATGAAATGCTGGGAGGTAAAATAAGCACTATGAATTGTCTAGAAATTCCCTTGAGTAGCTTGTCGTTGTTTTCCTTCAGTTTTAGAAGGTGAGAAGACAGAGCCTCGGGCTGGAACTCCTCCCCACTTCTTTCACCCAGAGGCTGATGTTTTCTCCAGCTGTGGTCAGCTCAGTGTGCCCGTGTGCCTGGGCCCTTGGAAGGAGAGGAGGCTCAGCCAGCCATGCTCGGGCTGGCTGCCCGGCCCGCCCCTGACAGATGGCCACCAGCTCTGCTGGAACACTTCCCCTCCTAGAGCCAGCCAATTCCATTTTTGGAGAACACAGATTGTTAGAAAGCTCTTCCTTAAATAGAATCAAAGTTTGCTTTTCTTCAACTTTCTCCCCTTGGCTCCCATCGTGCCCTCGAGAGCTGCACTGTGCAAGGCGATCCTCTCCCATGGAATCAGTGGCAGCTCTCCTCCAAGCTTTGGTCTCAACTCAGGCACACGTGTCCTTGGAAACGTTTGTACTAAGCATTATATATTGTAAAAATACAAATAAAATGATGCTTTGAGCATCCATAGCTGTCAGTAGCGGTTGGTATTCACAGTCTAGCCACAGTTTCTCGGGGGTCTGTATTCCTATCACCAAGGAGAGATGTCCCCCACTTTTTGTGTATCTTTCTGTTTTGATGTGTTTATCATACTCCGCCAAAGCCTTACTTTTGTTGGACAAAGAGAGAGCTTGTTATCTCAGTCTGGGTTTCCATTGCCCTCTTGAGCAGCGTCAGCGAGCAGGGAGGCACCCCGACAAGAAATCACCACGGCGAGTGGCTTCTTACTGCTCCACAGGCAGACTTGACATGGCCGCGCGGTCAGGAGGGAGGGTGAGAAAACAGTCCTCAGCACCTCCTGCCTGCCCTGGTCTCCATTGCTACGGAGACTGGAGCCAAGGCGTGCATGGCTTCTTGTTACACTGTTGTCACCAATGTGCTGTCAGTTACAGTGGGATTGCACGTCAGTCTTTAAGTGATCTCTGCTGCCTACAGGAAGGAGAGAAAACCAGATGAAAACTACTCCGCATCTGTTGACCTTCTAATAGCCACTTGTGGCATCATCCACAGTTGTAATTTTTACTGCTGTGGAAATCCGCCTTATTCCTAAGTCCATGCTGAGATTTCTCTGGCAGACACCTGATTTGGAATAAAATAGCACCGGACTCCTCAGCAAAGCCCGTGTTATCAGTGTGTGTCCACATCTCCGATCGCAGGTCGCTGGAACTCTGTAGGGCGCTGTCCTGCTTCCTTACGCTGACTTGCTGTGTTGAGGTTGGTGGTGAATTTAATCACGTGTCATCCTCTGGTAAAGTGACTTCCAGAAAGCAGTACCTTTGATAGGAAGGGCTCTCTGTTGAAAAAGGATTGACGTTCTTTCTTTTCCTTTAATAATTTATTATTAAATCATTTAATTATTAAGTTTTTAAATTATAATTGTGAGATGGGGAGACTGCTCGCAGGGAGGTATTTTTCAGAGATTTTCCTTCAGGCTACTGAAGAACTGTTTTTGTTACCACTTCATGATAGCAGCTGGAACCCGCCAAAGCCCCAAAGGCTCACTCTCCTCGGGTTAATTTAGGTCTAGGTGCTGACTTGGGTTACCCAGAACAGTACAGTTCCATTTATAACCTGTTAGGAGCCTCCTCTGAGGGTTTGTTCCAAGGCCCACGGGTCCGTTGCTAACCACCTCCCTGTCGTCTGGAGCCGGAGTGACCTGTCCCCCAGGGTTGCTCTTTCCTCACCTGTCCCAATGTGACCAGACGGGAGGCCAGTTGGAAACCTGCCAGCGGTTAGCCCCGGGACTCCCACCTCTGTGACTCCAAGCCAGACCAGGAGCAGAGAGGCTGCCGAGAGGGCTGCCCAAAGGCCCGCCAACTGAAACCGCCTGCTGCTCGCTGCAGCTGCTGCCTTTGGACAGGGAGGAGTGGTTCCTGCGGGGGACGTTCACAGGCTTCTTAGAGGCATACCCTTGCTGATTGATTTTAGGGTGGTAGGTGACTTCCCCAAGAACGCGCTGCTAGTCACAGGTCTGCGGCAGACGTGAGACTTGAGCTCAGACTTGAGGTTTTTACTCTGCCACGTTGAATGTCAGAGTTTAGTAGGTGGGCGTTCGATCCGACTCCTTTGCAGACATCAGTTAGAATGTTGGAGGAAAATTCAGTGACACCAAGTTCTTTATTTTGGAGATGAAAGCTTACTAGCGAAATTTGAGTGGGGTCTGAGAGTTAGACAGTAATCATGTATCAACGTCAGCGTCCTGATTTTGATGGTTGTATTGGGGTTTCGGAGAGAATGCCCTGTTGTTGAAATACACAAGAAGTACTGAGGTAATGGAACGGCACACTGGCAGCTTACTCTCAAATGGCGCAGGGAAAATAATGTTCTTCGTGCTGTTCTTGTAACTTTTCTGTGCCTTAAAACGAACGGACAGACATAGTGGTTTAGCAACCACCGCAGGCTATAGTTGGCTCGTAGCGGAGGAGACGTGACCCGCCCTATCTTGGCAGTTACGGTGTTTCATGCCTCAAATTTGGTACAGGCCTGTCAGTGATCAGTGTCACTGATCGAGATTGGTCCCAAACATGAGAATAACACCGTGCGTAAACGTGTCCAACCGATTCTTCATCAGAATGATTTCCCCTAGTCCTCGATTCAGAACTTTCTCTAATTATCCAGAGGGTTCTCTCCGTATCCCTAGCATGCGAGTGAGGAAATCCCGGCTTCTTGCTGCAGCAGCCCAGACTGTTTCAGCCAGTTCAGTGTATGCTTTTTAGTTATAACGGGAATAGGAGAGTGACAGTCAGAAATGATCTCCTGGGTTCCCACCTCTGTGGTTGTGTGGGATGGGAGGGAATTTGTGTGTAGACACCACAGGATTGTGGGTCTTGGCTGTGATTATAAATGTTCTCATCAGGTCTGAACCCCAGACAGGTGGCTCATTATAAATTAAGTGTGGGTCGTGAATGCCGCAGGCTGTGACTCTGGGAGCCTGGTCTGAGTCTGAGTTATCCCTTCCTCGCTCTGTCCCTTGGAAATCCCTTGTAAGCCCCTTCATTCCCTGCTGAGTGACTTTGAAAACAACAGCCAAAGGCTGTGAAATAGGGATGCCCACGTTCTGGAGGGATCAGCACGGCGTAATAGGGTATGTTCAGATCAGCAGCGGGAGCCTGGCCAGACGTCCTTTCATCTGGTGGGATGTGAGGGTTAGTCCCTGACTTTCTGAAGCTTCTGATGTAACTGGGAAGTAACACCGGCACAGATCGACAGCCCGCAGTGGAACAGCACCACTGTCCCTGCCTGTCCTCTTGGAAACTGGGACTAGACTGTGCACGTCCAGCCTCTGTCCTGTCCTTCAGGAAGCAGTATAGCCTGATAGTTAGGAGGGAGACTCTGGAGTCCTAGACCCCCGACGTTCAGATCCCGGCTTTGCCACACACTGGTTGAGTGGCTTTGGGCAAGCTGTTGAACTCCCTAAGCCTCAGCTGCATCATCTGTAAAATGAGTAAGCGACTACTTGTCTCGTAAAATTGTTGAGAAGTGAATGAAGTCAATCATGTAAAGACTGCTCAGGGCTGAGCTGAGACTTATGAGAGGGGCTGGGGCTTCAGCTGAGGGAGGGAGAGCATGAGCAAAGATTTGGAGGCTGAACGCCAGAGGTGTGTGGAAGGACATTAAGTGAGCCAACCGGACTGGAGTGAGGGAGAGTGCTGGAGAGTCCTGAGTGACCCGGGTGCGCCTCACTGTGAAGGTCCTGAACACTAGGCCTGATGCCGTTTGAAAAGAGAACCCCCAAAGATTTCCCCAGAGGAGACAGGGCGCACAGAGTGTCCTGATCCTGGTCTTCAGGAGGGGACTGGAGAGGGCAGTCTGTCAGCAGCAGGCTGGGGGTGGGACCTCAGGTGACCCTGACAGCGTAAGTCCTGAGCTCAGCCAGGGGATGGAGGGTGACAGAGAGGAGGGGCTTTTGCAGGAACTCCCCAGGACTCTGTGCTGACTGGTTGTGGAACAGCTAGAAGAAGTATTAGTCACCGATGACTCAAGGGTCTTGAGCCTGAATGAATGAGCCGCAGAACTAGAGAACTAGGAAGAGAAACTGGGCCATGGCGGGGAGACCTGTCGGAGTTTCAGTGATGGCAGGACACGAAGCAGAAATGTTCAGTAGGATGCTTCAGGAGACAGAAAATTCAGATTTCTTGTATAACGTACTATTTTTAAGTGAATTTTAGTTTTTAGACTTCTACATAAATAATTCTATCTGGGACCTGCTGTGGAGACCAGACGTTTCTGGAGCAGCTTGTCACGTACCTCAGCCAAGCTTTCAGTCTTTGTGTTGTATTGAGGATGGGTCCCAGACCGCTGGTCCCCGAGCCCTCCGCTGGCAGGAAGACCCACAGGTGGCCCCATGGCAGCTGGTGCCCAGAGGCCCGAACGTTCCACAGCCAGCATTCCCTGTGCTCTCGACCGGCATTTCTTGCAGAAAAATGTGTCTGCCCACTCCCCAAAGCCAAACAAAAAGCTGATGAAGCAGAAAAATTCAGACCAAGACCCCAGAGCTGATTTTGTATGCGTTTCTGCAATGAGTGGACTGTAATAGTTATTTCTCTGTGAGTGCCTGATTTGCACCAGATACTGTGCCAGCTGCCCGCGTACATCTTTGTTTAATCTTCACAGTACTCCTAAGAGGGAGGTAATAGTATCCTCATTTTTCACGTGAGAAAAATTGAAACTTGGAAGTTAAGTGATGTGCCCAAGGACACAGAGTGAGTGATGGGGTTGAAATTCAACCCAGGTCTGCCCGACTCCCGCCTCTGTCATTGTTGATCAGCCTGGGAACTGGGGACTCAGATTGGAGTGTGGGAGAACGAGACCTGCTGGGCTCTGGTCTTGGTGGATCCCTCCCTCCTGGGCCCCACCGCACGGCTGCTTCGGTTTCCACCACCCCCGCTGTAGCCCCTCAAGTGTTAGGGGACCGGCTCCTTCACTGAGCACTGTTTTCTTCCCAACCCCCAGGGGTTCACTTATTGATGACTCTGCTGGTTCCTTAATGTTGAGGGGCGCAGGAGCCATTCATTAAAATGATTCAGAAGCCGACTGTCACGGGAACAGATCTTTGTTGTAAATTGATTTGTGTGTTGGCAGCAGTTTCGTCAGCAGCGGTCGTGCCCTGCACTGCTGCCTGCATACATCTCAGCCATCTGTGTGGTCCGCTTCTTTGCACGACACGGATTTCTGCACACGGGTATTCCTCAGAATCGTACTCTCTGAAATGCCTGTGTTTTATAAAACCATTCCTTTATGACAGGCATACTACAAAAATATTTGAAAAATGTAAAAAACTTACCTCACCTGTGATCTCATCACCCAGAAATAATCAGTGTGTCTGTAATCCTTTGTGTGTGTTTTCTCAGTATTCATGCACATATATAATCAGAGTCATCGCACAGATGACCTCTTGCTGTGGTCAGTACTGGCTGTCACAGCGCACTTGGTCCAGCAAATGTCAGGCTCTTTCTACAGGGTGCTGATCCCAGCACGTGCTGGGACGGGGACTGACCAGTGAGTTTGGGTGGACACTTCCTGACTCATCATGGGTCGGGTGGCTCACTGTGTTTTGTATATTCTATAACATATATAAGAGGAGAAGCTGATTCTTCATGGTGCCTTTGTCTTAGAAATAGTTTGTTTTTCTGAGGTGACTGTTCTGCAAGAATAAGAATATTACTGCGAACCCTTCTGCATGTCACTGAAACATGCTTCCTAACCTGAGTCATTCTCCAAGCAGCCAGCCCTTCAGTTCACAGAAGGACCAGCCACACCACTCCCCTCAGCCTCCCCAGCATGCACTCACCTCTTCACGGCATTGAAGCAGGGACTCTGGGTTCTCAGAGTGGTTCCTGCCACCGCGGGCCTACTGCTTCAGTCTCTGTTGTGATATGACTCAAGTATGACGTATCAGAATTTAGAATTCTCTAGAATTCTGCCTTACAAGATTGTTCACAATAGAAGTGACCTACCAAATGTATTGCCCACGTAATATGGAAACTTCTACAGTGATTGTGGTGCCAGCCACCCAAAATAAACTTGGATTCGTTTTTGTATATCATAAGCTTCCAAGTATTTAGAACCGAAAATGTAGAACAACTCACAACAGATTAGTGGGAGAATAATTAGCAAATAGAGACAGTTTGTTAAAAGGCTGCTAATGGGAGGAAAGCCGGGAGAGACCGTGGGAAATGAGGAGGGGTCTGTGCCCTGGAGAGCCAAGGAGAAGCAGGTGTGCATCATACACATGGTGTGTGAGTGGGTGTGGAGACCGGACTCTGTCCCCTGGGCTGGATGGGGCCCCCTCGTGTCCTGGGAAGGACAAGAACATGAGGTAAAGTGTCTCCCAGTTTGTTTCCCAGAAATTGGCATCTTCGTTGCTTCTTATTAAAATTTTTCTACTTTCATCACTTTTCTCAAGAACATGGAGAAAACCCCCTTTCCTGACTAGAGAGTCACTCAGGTGCGAGCCTTCGGTTTTAGAATAGAGAGCCGTGAAATAAAAGGGCCTCGGAACCAAAGTACCAACTCCCTACCAGGTTTCTGACTGCGTTTCCCCATATGGCACGCTCTCTTTTTAGACCCTGTCCTTCTGTCTCCAGTGCTCCCTCTCTGTTCCGTTGTCGTGTCTGTCCGGGGGGCAGGCACGCTGTGCAGAGGACGCTGCTTTCCTGGCACGTGCTGCAGTGCACTGCTGGGCCCTGGACTGTGGTCAGGCCGGCCGAGGGGCCTCCTCTCCAACTGAGCCCGCTGCCCTGTACTGGGGGGCGTGTAGAATGAAGCCCAGACCTCCATGGGCCCACCGTCTTCATGACCGGTGTCTGCCTTCTCCAAAGCAGCGTGTGACCCCATGGGGCTTTCTGTCCATCTTTGCTGGGACAGTGGGGCTCCTTTTTCGCTCCCTACGTGAAGGCCCAGTTTGCATTGATGCAGCATTCTCTCTGTGACCATTCAGAGGGGCCCTCTTGTTGTAGACGCTTCTGACGCAGATAGCAGGGGTGAGGTGAGGCCTGCCCCCCAGGGACATTTTAGGGAAAAAACATAAGAACAGATATTTGCACATCTCTGTTGAAAAAACACTCCCTGTTCCTTTCTCCACTTGATCCTGCGTTGTCCTCAACCAGAAAAGAAAACAAGGAGATGCTGTAATAACAGCAGTAAACACAATGAAGGCCGTCATTTGGGTGCTTGCTGTGCACTGTCATTCCTCAGTTGGACCCTTGTAATGGCCCCACGAGTGTCGCTTCTGTCCTTATCTTACTGGTGAAGACGAGGCGTAGAGGTGTCACACATTGCCAGGGTCCAGAGCTAGTGGGCGTGGAAGCTTGGCTGGGAGCTCAGTCTGCAGGGTGTTCAGGGTCTTTGCCAAACCCTTGCCACCAGCACAGCCCCTGTGAATGTGCTGTCCCTTTACTGGTTTTCATTTACTTATCCTATTTCGTTTTGCTAGGCAGGTATGGTCTTAGAAGGTTGCACGCATGCCGAACTTTCGCCGGTGGAGTCACACTTTAAGTAGCGCTTCAGAATGTCACATCTCCTCCTTGCCACGTCTCGTATACCCTTTTGCATATTCAAAAATGCTTGTGCTAATGGATTGGGTATATGTGTTGAGAGATACTAAATATGTATTTTGAATTAAAAATTATAATTTTTTTAGATTCTTTTCTTTGGCATCTGTGTTACCATTTGACTTTCACATTTGATAGAAAGCCCTATACTTCTAAACTATTTTTTTTCAGGCTTAAATATTGGGTCATCTTGTTTGCCTGCCTGCTCACAAATGAAGGGGCTCTCTTATGGCCAGGAATGGAAGGTCCAGTTCAGAGCCCTGGGCACATGGACCTGTGTGATGGTAGACCTTTTGCCCCTGACACCTCTCCCTCAGAGCTGGCTTCTGGCACGTATGCCCACTGAATCAGGGACCTTCTGGGCACAGGGATGGTGAATAGTTCCTTTGTCCCTCCTTCAACCGGCAACCCCCACCCAGCCAGTGTGGGTTCACCTCAGGGGTGGCAGCTCCCTTCCATCTTACAGGTCTCTTTCCTCCCTCCTGTCCTGGGCCACCTCTCTCCCCAAACTTGGGATTTTTGTATGGCACACGATAGAACTTTTCATTATAGGGAGGGGGTCAACACCAAAGGTGCACATGCCTAGGAATAATAAATCTGGATTCATTTCAGGTTAGGAGAGGGCGGCAAGGAGGGTGAGTCAGGAACTAGGGTACCTCGGAATCTCAGACGCAGGCCAGCTTGAGCAGGGCCTTCCCATCCTGGCCACTGGGTTGCTGACTTCCCGGTGTATGAGTGCCTAGCACATAGTCAGGTCTGGAAGTTTTGTTGAAGGGTGGGAAGGAGAAATAGGTGTAGGGTGGGGTTGGCATGGCATGTACTTGGGAGGTGTGCTGATTATGACAGCGGCTAGCTCCTAAGTAATCTGTTAACACTCCTGGGGATACAGGTGCCTGTCATTGGAGAGATCAGTCTGGAAAGACTGATGAGTGCTTACGAGCTAATGGTGGTGAGATGGGAGGTGGAGTTTATTAACTGAGCAAACATTTATTGGATGCCTGCCCCGTGCCAGGCCCTGAGGCCACATGACAACTGAACATGAGCTTTCTCAGGGAGATAAGACAGCACGATGAGGCAGGGGCTGAAATAGAGGAGGGCGTGTGGGAGAAACACCGAGTCTCTCATGGGGAAGGACATCGCATTATTTAGTGCTGTTTACAGATGTAAGTGCTGAGTGGGTCTTTGGGATCAGCCCTCGTTTTACTGTGGGGGAAGGCCCTCAACTGAGTTAGTCCTGCCCATGGTGTTGTCCCCGGAGCCGTGATCTGGTCAGGGAGATCCAGAGGGACTAAGCTTTTGGAAAAAACATTGGTTTTCTTTTTTTTTTTTTTTTTTAAGATTTTATTTTTTTCCTTTTTCTCCCCAAAGCCCCCCGGTACATAGTTGTATATTCTTCGTTGTGGGTCCTTCTAGTTGTGGTATGTGGGACGCTGCCTCAGTGTGGCTTGATGAGCAGTGCCATGTCCGCGCCCAGGATACGAACCAACGAAACACTGGGCTGCCTGCAGCGCAGTGCGCGAACTTAACCACTCAGCCAGGGGGCCAGCCCCCATTGGTTTTCATTTTTAAAAGCTAAAGTTAAACTACTAAAGGAAGGAAGGTTCCGGGCCCAGCTTTATACTCAACCTCCTTTGTCTCTAGCACACTCTGGGTGTCAGTACATTCTCCCTCTTGTCGTCAGGCCCCTACAGAGTGTGGGTAGAACTATTATGGCTCCACCAGCAGCAACGAAAAGGCGGGGATTTTCTGTGAGTGAAGCTCGTGTCCAAAGAGAGGCATGGAAGACCCAGAAAGCTGTCGTGGGCTGCATTTGGTCCTTTGTCTCAGAAGTGGTTAGGAATTTAGTACTTCTTCTTTAAGCATCTCCAGCTCCTACTAGTGAGTCCACGGTACCAGGTAAAGCGTATTTTCTCCCAGGAGGACACTTGGAAGAGAGTTAGGTTGACAAGCTTTTTGCTTTGCCTGACGCAGTTCTGCCAGCCTCGGCTGGACATGTCTTTGCTCCAGCGCCAGCCCAATCCTTCAGCCTTGTCCCACGTCCTCTCTCCCCCTTGCTCTCCATAGCACGGCCCGAGGCCTCCTTCACCTCTTGCCCACAACCCCGTGCAGCCTGTCTTATCTGCCACGCACGCTTCATCTCCTCTCCTGAGCTCATCGTGTCCAGTTAGGAACGTGGTTGAGCCTCTGTGTGACACAAGGAATGATGCTAACTGAAGCAGCTGAGTCGGAGCATTCATGCCTGAGTCTGCTTTGACTTAGATTTTGCCGATATCAGTTTGTGCTGAAGAGCCTGTCCCACTCTCTCGAGCTGCCCTTGGGGTTTCTCTGACAACCCGTCCCTCAGATACTAGCCACAGTGACTTCATCTCTGCCCCTTCGGAGTCAGATCTGACAGTCCCCGGAAGAACGAGGTTGGGTTGCATTGGTCCATTAGGCGTAATGTCTGTGGCAGCCCAGCATCACAGATTTCTCGTGGTGGCTTTTGCAGTAAATATTTTAAACCCAGGATTCTCTGGTCTTAGGAAACGTGTGCACCAGCGCAGCAGGGAATCAGGACATGGTAATGGTGTCTTCCCTTCACCACCCCACCCTCACTTCCACACCCAAACATGGATGCTCCCAAACTACTACTATGTTCTTATTGACTTACCCAAATATACCACTTTTCTAAGTGGGAATCAACAGTTTGGCAGATTCAAGGCGGTGGGATGGGAGAGGAGGAGTCTGAATGGGGGAAGGGTATTTCACTTTTTTGAGAGCTCTTAATTCAAGTGACACAGTCAACTCAAAAGCAGGCAAAGCAAAGAAAGGAAAATATGAAGAAGGAGCTGCCAGGCTCACATCATGGGGAAGTGTGTTTGGATGCAGGGGCTCAGCTCCTGTGGTCTGGTTCTGTCTCTCTCTGAGCCTCATTCCTTCTCGCCTCTGCCTCCTAATTCTTCATGTAGCCTCCTACAAGTGAGACAGGATCCCCACGCTGGCAGCCCTGGTCCTGGGGTGCTCTGACATACGCATCTGAGTCACGGGTCCTCCCTGTGGCCCGGCGGAGGTAGGAAAGGCTGGGGTGGAGATGGGCCCTGCTGGAGCCACAAGAACGGAGTTTTGTTGAGTAAGAGAAGGGATAAAGGGTGCTGAGCAGATTAAGACAACAGCAGAGAACCACTGCATTAATCTTAAATGGTCAGCTTTCAAAAAATCTTAAGCTTAGTAAATCTGAGTTTTTTCCCTTTATATACTGAAATATTTTGATCATAAATTTTGGCACCGGATATTCTCTGAATAGTGGAAGCTAATCCTACCAGGATATCTAAAAAACTAGATAGAAATTAAGTGCACATATAATAACGTGAAAAGCTATAAGAAGCCAAACATTAAATATGTCCTAATTCTTATATGAAAAGTTATGTTTGTCACCTTGCACCTTAGTCAAATCTTGTCAGATCTCCTTAGCACTTAATAATAAAAGCCTTTCCTAATTTTTAGTTGACTTTAATAATAGATCCTAATGAGAGAAATCTCCACAAATTAATAACCTCTATTCTTAGTATAAATGGCATCTTAAGTACAAGGAAGCTTTCTAGCTAAATCTGATTTATGTTACAGATCTGATTAGTTACAAAAATAAAATGGCTTTGCCACAGAACTCCTAAAACTCGGGTGCACTGTGTCTGCATGAATTGGCTTGAATATATTTCTGAACTACCAAATTTGTTTGACATTTTATCTTAAATCCCCAGAACTCCAGCTGGAAGGTGACAGTTAGAGCATATTTTAAAGTCGTCTGTTCTAACATCCCTTTATCTTAAAAGGAGTATATAAAAGATTTTGACTTTAAAATCACTAACATTAATAATGTATGACATATTCAAGCTTTTATTAGAACTCAATCTCTAATGTATGTGATTTTATTCAAGAAAGTTAAAATGTGCTTATCATCATCAATGAAAATGTAGCTCAAGATCAGAGATGCAATAGCTCGATGCCGGGAAATCATCACAAAAGCTGAAAGTATAGCTTACCTTTAAATTCCACTCGGCTGTTTGCCACTTAAAATTAGGCTGTCTGCTCAGAGAGTAAGAAATACCATTCCTGATGGTGCACGTGTTATTTATTATTATTATTATTAAATGAAGATAAAAGTCATTGCACGCATTGTGGCTGGTCTTTAATGTGACAGTTATGGAGGTGGCTCCGTGAAGGAGCTTGTTCACATCCTCCCTTGGCCACAAACCCAGTCCATCCCAGGCTGCTCTGTGCTCAGGGGTCTGCATCCTTGCTGTCCAGCCTGGCTGATGACTGGACACCCGGGCAAGAGCTCCACCTCTCTGAAACTGTCATCATCTTGTCTGTGGAGCACATTTTCGAGCAGCCTCCTGCCCAGGACCCCTGGTAGAGAAAGAGAGCATTGGAGCTGCTGGGGGTGGGGAAGGGGGGTGTGCAAGGGAGTGGGAGGGTGTGGTCTTCTATCCCGCCTGCTCTCCTGGGCAGCACAGTCAAGGGACCCCAGGGCCCACTCCTCACAGCAACAGCCTGAACATAACTGAGCAAGCCGATCGCTAAGATTTCTTCTAGATCTTAAATACCACAATTTTATGATCATAGACTTAAGGAAACTGAGATGTTCTCAGAGCGTAATCTTCACTGTAGAAGTTAAAATCCTGATTGCTCCTGAGCGCATGAAACGGCATCTTGCTTATTCTAACAGCAAATGCCATTCCTTCTTTGTTCTTCCTTCTTCTTTCAAAGGTGTTGCAGTTTATACATTATTGAACAAGCTGCAGAGAAGGTCATTACTTTGTGAAGAAATGTGGCTTAACACCTAATACAGCATGCCAGCAATTGGAAAGATTTTCTAATGGTCACTCACATTCTAGATATTCTCATCCGTAATACGATTTATCCAAAGCATGCTGCAGCAAAACCTCCAACCAGAAGGTTCAGACACCAAATTTTATGATTTTATTTTATGATTAGCTGGAGAACTACTAAAGAAAAGCACGTCATTTGACCTCAGCTCAGATCTCAGTGAGACACACTGGTGCTCCCGGCACCTCAGTGAGCTGTGGGGTGCTGCGCAGCGTGTGCTCCCACACCTGGGGTGCAGGAGCAGGCGAGGGAGGAGGCGGGGCTGCGGGTCTGCTCTGAGGAGCTGCTGTGTCCAGCTGCACAGGGCAATCAGGATCGGGCCCAAGGTGAGCAGCTTCAAAGGACAGTGCTAGCGTTCTCCCAAAACGTGGCACGGAGAGGGGGTGAGGAGCATCACTGGTTAATGAGGGCTTCTGGTCCGCCAAGTTTTGGTTAGTTACCGTTTACTTAGGGTAGGTAAAGATGGCCTGAGACTTTGCCAAATGGGTGTGAGGATTTGTCTCCACTGATGGGAGAATATGTAAAATTATAAGAGAAAAAAAAAATCACTTTATCCTAGTTAAAATCAAAAACACCCCTTGGAGTTCAAGTTGTTTTTGTTACAATTGGGAGAAGTAAGTGGTATGACTTTAATGACAGAAGAAATGAGGCAGAGGCAGTGTAGAAAAATAGACACAGAGCAAGGGGGGAAACAGTGGAATTCCCATGCTTCCTCCTTCCCTGAAAGATAACAGATTTGCCTTGGAATTCGAGAGCGAGGGCGCGTGCAGCTGGCGGGCTGGGCTCGAAGCCGGATCTGCCCTCCTGCTGGACCGGGCACTGGATGCGCCGCACTGCCCTCCCCGAGCCCCCGAGCCCCCGAGCCGCGCCCCTTCGAGGCTCGCAGCTGACACATGGTGCCGCTCACATGGCTTGGAGTGAAGTCCAGGCTGGGGGAGAGGGAGAGAGGCACTAAGACCCCCAGGCCTGCTCCTTTGTAAGGCCTTGTTTTACAGGCCGCCCAGCTCTCGGATGGTGGGTTTTGTCCTCACACGGAAACGACCCCTTCACTGTCGGCCAGTTTCCCTTCCCTCTCTCCCTGTCCCCGCCCCGCATACGCCATGCCCAGCTGCCCTGCTGCTCCCTGTCGTCCGCAGCTTCTCTTGCTCCCCGCGCTCTCAGTCGGGAGGGGGCACATGAAATTTCGCCTTGCCAGGGGCTGAGGGTCCCCCAGCGCTCTGCCCTACCCGACCCTGGCTCTGGCCATTGGGCAGAATCAGGGTAAGGGGGAAAGAAGGGGAAGTGGAGACCCCTCTCCCAGAAACCCAGGTGACTTTGACCCATTGACTTGTTTCCCACCCACCCTGCGCCCTCTCCAGCCTGTCCCTGCCTATCGAGTTCCTGGGGCCTGTTACTCATCATACATTTCTTATCCCAAATCTTCGCTCCCTAAAACTCAGCCCCACTTCCACCTGGAGACAGAGGGGCCATTTTCATTCAGTGGAAGCTGAGGAAGGGTCC